AACTGACAAAGCATGTCCAAAATACAACATTTTCAAAAAACAAGATGGCTGCCAGTCGGCCATTTTGAATCGAATCGCTAAACCACTGCATGTGCATATGTCCCACATAAAGTACTAGGCACATGCAAAGAATGAACGGAATCGGTCCAAGAGACTCTGAGATACGACTCCGGACGGACGGAGACCGAATTATAAGTCCCCGTTTTCGGACTTCGTCCGAACGGGGACTAATAAACTTCCCTACCCAATAGCTGTTCTTTCTGAAATGCACAAAATAATATTTAGTGGTAGCATGTGTTTTTAACAGAAATTATAAATGCTGCGATTGCGACTATGAAGCGAATTTGTGGTAATGAGAAGTCAACCGGATAGTATCATGTTTTGTTTCACAAACTGTAAGCAGATATTTCCTAAACATGTGCTGCAATATGATCCTGCATTCAATGTCACTTGTGTTTCTCTCTCCAGGCTTTTTTCTATGTTTAAATTGCAAGCGTTTATGGCACCATACACAGTATTTGCGTTATCAGAGGCACACGCAATTACATAAATTATAGAGGTATTTCTACAACAAATGCAATTTTTGGTTTATTTGAGCTTCTATTAGAGGTAGTGCACAGTAGCCATATATGTGACTATGTTACCGTTTTCTTTCTATCATAGTGGCATTATAATGCATTATTTCCCTGCATTAGCCAGGCCTGATTGAACCAGCATGGTATGTTAATTTTACTGTCGTGATCACGAGACATGCATAGAAAACTAGTCAGCAACTTAGCTGACAATGTTGCTGTTTTGTTGTCCCAAGCAATATCACAGTGACAGTACGTACTTGACCAGCTAAGGTAGATCTTGGTATTAAAAAACTGCCAATTACCTGACCAGCAATTCTGTCTAAGTCTCGCTGTCCTTGACTAGTGAGCCGCCTACCACTGTTACCATCTTTTTCTACCAGCTTCATTCCTTCTAGTGATTGTAAAACTTTTCTGGCAACAGACGAAGAGCCTAGGCAATAATGGCTGGGTGCTGTACCATTACGCTTTCGACCACCATAAATTTTCATAACAGCTCCCACACCAACACCTCCCCTGAAGTAGAGATGTCTACAGAGAGAAGCTAGGAGAGAAAAAAATGAAAAAAAATTATTAGTAGTCATGAGAACCCTATGTTTTTTTACTTCATATCTACATTTTTCTGTGTGGAACACTGCTCTAAAACATGACTGGATCAAGAGGGTGTTGGGGAGGAATGGGTCAAATGGGATTCCAAAATACAATTTGGTATGTTGGTAATCACAACATAATTTTTAGGATTATAAAAGCCACAGCTGCAGTCAACAGCTTGTTAGCCCATATAAGGCAGTGCAAAATGTTGGACTTATCGTGTTTGCCAATATTGAGTAAGCTAGGGAGTTGAATACCAGTTTTCTAGTGCATCAATAGCTTTTACAGGACGTTGACCCCAACTGTGGTGCTTACAATCATAAACACTAACCACATACTAACTTTACATCAATTTTAGGTAATGTCAGAATGTGATTTGAATTACACATATGGATTTATTTGCTGTGCACCAGAAATCATACCATCGAGGGACAATGTTTACATATGTTTTCATTCCTTCATTAATTCAACCAATCAAATACATGGTCAGCAGCCAACTGATGAGGTGATACTCTTGGCATATTGTAGTGAAATCTCAGTGAAATGCTTAATAGATTCTAGGCTAGGATATAAATATGACAAGTCCTGAAGTAGACTGACAATGTGGCGCGAGTTGCGCCCGACAGAACGATCAGTTTTTCACTTCTCCAGAAAAGTTGTTTTCAGTACCAATCAAGTACCAATCAAATTGCAGTAACGTCAGATAGTGACAGCCATCAAAGAGTAACCATTCACGGCAAAGTTTATTTCCGCCCAATGTTTAACATCTTGTTGAGATTTTTGTCAGCAATCCAAAGATGGCTTTGATTGATGATGTTACCATGACCACCAAAATGAACAGTCACCGAAACTCGTAAGAAGGCATGAACTTTGCAAATTTGTAGTATTGACCTTGCCAAGGAGACATGCACTAATGCTGTTCGGCCGGCGAGTGTGCCACTCACGTCTACATGTCGGGCTAATCCGGAAGATACATTGAAAGCAAGAACTGATTATGTGGGAATTCCGAGTAAGAATAGATTTCCCAAAAATCAAGTCACATCAGCTTTGATTGCTTGGATGTTTTGGGGTTCAAACATAACAAAAATTTCATATACGAAATGGTAATTTCGTTTTACCAAATCACAAATTCAAAACTATACGAACATATTTTTTAAGATCATTATAATCAATGTATAATTTCCTGTTGCATCAATGACGTGCCTGGGAATTAGCACAACTAATTGCACCACAGCAAAATCTTAATGCGTCGTTGGCACGTCATATCAACTTCGAGCTTACAATGATTGAAGTCTTACCTGATCTGACGTAATACCAGTCTGGATCATATGGAGCTAATTCCTTGTGTTTTCCTAGTTTCACAATATCAACCCACTCTGGAACTTTAAGTTTACCAGACCTGAAAAAGAAAAATTACAATCAAACATATTTTAGTGACCACCTTTAAATATAGCCCACCAGCCTACAGGGACTACTTTTAGGCAGTCACACAGCATAATCCAAGAGCAACCTATATATACAGACCACCTGTTTTACGTGACCACCCTTTCATCAAAACTTTTTGCAGATTCAACTTTGTTTAAAAAACCAAAATAATAATTATCATACCGTTTATAAAATAATTTTTAATTTCTCCAATTCAATATTGTTTGACATACTACCATTTCATTTTCTCCTCAAATACGCCAAATATATAAATTGGCGGTTCATAAAAAAAATGCAACCTTCTTTTAAAGACCAACTCTACAAAGACTTTCAATGAAATCCATTGCATGATTGCTGTACACAGGTGTGACTGACCAGTGTTAAGAGGCTATGGACTAGATGCTGCAAGAGGTGGAAAAATTTACCAATTATGGAAGTGCTGTGGACGGGACTTGCACACTGTCAAGTGTATGCATACATGTGA